TATTCCAAAAAGTCACACTTATTATACCCAAGAAAAAGAAAGAAATTCCGTGGCCAAAGTTAAAACCCACATTTTTCTTCATTTAACATCCACTAATTGTAAGACAGATTTCAACGAATTCTCGAATTCACTTATGTCACATTTTTTCCCATTTTAGACAATTGAAAAAATCGCGTCAATCCTCCAGAAATAATTTCAATATACCGAAACGAGGAAGTAGGTACATAAGACACACCACCCAAGTTCCCAAGCTTTTTCCATATCACTTTCGCTACGAACTTTCGTTTCGTTAGAGCTTCGTATTGTCCGTGTGACGAGAGACCAGTTTGGCGACGAAAGGATGCGGGACACTTTTCTTCTAGTTTTTGCGACAACTCGTCGGAATTGTTGGACGCGGTTTTGTTGCGGCGTCGCAACACGTGACGAATAATTTCCCATTGTACACAGTTCCTCGTGATTTGCGCGAGAGTGGTGCCTTCCTTACTCGAGGACCAACTTTTGGTAAAATCCGGGTCGTTTATCGCGCGGTTAACTGTCCACTTTTTCTCTGCGGAAGATATTCGCGTGTCTTGATCCGATTTTCCCTGACATTGACAAGCTTTTATAAAAAGTAAGGCGCAATTATCAGTTCCTTTCGTATTGACTTTCCCTTTAACTCTGTTTTTACTGTTAACGACTGCGCGAGGAGAATTACGATGTGCGCAGTGTTTTTGGTAACGGAGAAATTGAAATGGTGACCGATGTGAGAGAGGAAATAATTGATTTTTAATTGATTTTTATTCTTTTGGCGTTTATCGTTTCAACTCTTCGGTTACCAAAACTATCACACATATTGGAAAAATAAATTTTCATTTTTTGGTATTTATATCGTTTATCGTTTCAACTTTCCAATTACCAAAAACATCACGCAAATTAGAAAAATAAATCTCAATTATTTTGGCATCTACATCGTTTATGATTTCAACTCTTCAGTTACCAAAAGTATCGCACACATTAGAAAAATAAATTTCTTGGCATTTACATCGTGTACCATTTCAATTCTTCGATTACCCAAATTATCACACACGTTAAAGAAATTAATTTGCATTTTTTTTTTTTTTTTTTTTTTTTTTTTTTGGTACTGAAAATAAATTTTTCCGGTGGATAGGGGTGTAAATTCCATGCTTAATGCAGCGGCAAGCGCTGCAAGTGTTAAAATAGTCTATTTTAGCCTTCAGAGCTATCGCAAAATACAGCCAAAATCGCAAATGACAATTTCGCTACGGTTGAAAAAAATGAAAGTGCCAAGAGAGTCCTCACGGACGTTTATTTTCCCTCTAAATCTATAAAGGTGGTAAGCGCTGAAAGTTCATAGCGTTCAAGTGATAAACGATATACTTAAGTGCTAGAATGAACAAACGTGTTTTTCGTTTATACTGAAAATTTTCACTTCTGGCACTTGCAGCCTGCAAAATCCTTTCGTATTTTACCCTCTTGATTGCAATTTTATACACGGTTATTTAAATAGTTTAAAAAATACTTATTAATTTATGAAGATTAACGAGCAACTTTAGTTCGACTTAAACTACTGATAAACCTTAAATCTAAGAGTTCACCCAGTAATTTTCCTTAATTCCTGTCAATTGTACAATTTAATACAAAATTCTCTCGATTTAACTGAGTTCAAAACTAAATTAATTACCAAATTAACTTCTTCAATGAAATTCATTAAGTTCGTCGAACAAGTTTCATTCACAATGTAAAAAAAGAAAAATAACTGAAGAACCAAAAAGGAAGGCTAACTACTGACCTAAATTTTCAAAACACAACCAGCAAAGTGTTATTTAACCACAGATCACTTTTTCCCATCAAAATTAGCAATATTACACAAAACGTGTAACAACCATGAATATTAATTAGTTACACAAGAACTAGTACAAAAACTCGACTTTCATCGCTGTGCACTCACAATAAGAAAGAAACTTGCGAATTGCCAGAAAACAAGAGTGCCATACGAAACTAATAATAGCACGTCGTTCATTCTTAAACCACGAGCCGCAAAAATGTCATTGAACCGCAAAGATCACGAGCATCAGACATCTCGTGAAATTTTCGTCGGGGTAAACGCAACGTATTATTAACATAAGTGAAATCTTTCTTGGTCTATTCAGAATCATGGCCAGAGGGTATAGCAGGAATCTATGTCATCGCGAGAGAAGAAAAAAAAAAAATTGCTCACGGGCGTTCGTTTTGTTAAAGAACGAAATTTCACGTTCGCGAGGCGAGATGAGGATATTTTACAATCAGTGTCAAAAAGAAGCTTGACTCGATTGCAAAGCACTCGTAATTATACGGTTTCGTGGCGAAAAGAAGCCGCCCGGGTAAATTCGAGGGACAAACGACGCGTTTCCTCTCTGTTTCGCGAAATCGCCAAATATAATCTGATGGGACACGCGATTCTCTGCAAGTGACGCGATCGTATCCTTTTCTTTTGATGTTCCTCTAGACTTCCGGCACAGTAAACATTCTGGTAAAAGTAAATTAGCATGAGCTCTGTTCGTGTGTAACACAGTTCGGCTTTCGAAATTCTACGCCAGTTCCACGCCTGTGTTTCAACGAATTTGCGCTGCATTTCTTTTTTTACGGATATTTTTGAGTATTTAGTTGGTTAGGTGATTGATCTTTTATTAGATAAGCTGAAGAATTTTTGTACTTTTTCTGCGTATAGTTACTTAGCTGCAGAATCCAATTCTTATTTTTATATATCGATTTCAAGAATGAGTAGTTTAGAGAAAATATTTAGACCGCCTATAGGCGCCAAGGACAGCGCGACAAAGTATTCAAACAGCTTACAGGCGCCGTGAAAAATATGCAACAGGTCAATTGTGTTTCTTGGATTAAGATTTTTACCAGAAATCTATAGGTTTCTTGATTTTTAGATCGAATTAATAAATCGGTGAATTTTATCGATAATTAATTTCTGCTTTCTTCGGAAAATGAAACCTGAAACATACTCGTTCAATTATAGTTTTTTTTCAATTTGACTTGAAAGTGAATGTATCCTATAAAAACTTGCTCCGATTTGCAAAGACGAAAAAATTGAGGAAATTTCGTGTGGAGGCCACCTGGTACAGGAAGTTCAGTCTGCTGCGATCGCGGAAGACCTTCGAAATTTCGAGGAATTGAAGATCGAAAGGAATCGACGAGTAAGAGAAAGTACAACAGAAAAAGTGTAATATATGTATCAGTTCACAGAATCGTTGAACGTTGACAGTAAAAGCGCCTACGGTCAACCAATTAAATTTTGACAGAAATTTTCAGCGTGATGAGTAGGTTTGAGAGAGTTTGAGGTCAATTGTGAAAGATGTGAAGTCGAAATTCAACGATCGCTAAAAATGCATTCCCTAAAATTTACCTTTCGTAGGTAAACTAGGTCGTTTATGTCCTTTTTTTTTTTTTAATATATTTGTAAGATGAAGAAATGAAATAAAAATTCTGACTGAGATATACGAGAAAATAGAATAGTACATACAAGGAAACGGTAAGGAAATTCAAAATTTAAAAGACGAACATCACTGATAATATCTTTATTCTTAAATGCGCAACACGATTGAGCCCATTCTTAAATCAGTCTCGATAAAAGTTTGGATTGTATTGGCCACCGTAAGTACAAATAATTCTAATAAAACGCTCAACAGTATTACTCTCTTCTTATAAACTAATCAGTCATACACCATATATTCCTAAGCAGTACTTCAATCATTACAGCCATGCAAAAACAAACCAAGCGCTGAGCAGTTTCGTTAAGATCTTTTCTTAGTAAAAATAAAAATGAAAACAAATATATATATATATTTTTTTTTCGGACGAATTAAAGAAATATTTGCGCTTTTGAATGGCAGCTAGTCGTTGAGAATATTAAGAGCTACGTTCATAATCTCGTTTAACAATCAATACTCAACAGTTTTGGTGTGCCAGTTTGAACGAAGAATTCTGCACTGATTGTAATTTTTGAACAACTCTAAGTCTTAAATAAAGACATATGATAATTACAAAACCATATAGTGATATATTTATGATTTACTAGCGCATTGAAACCGCTGAAGTACTTCTTCATTCGATACACCGCTCAAAAAGAGAATTAAATTCATCTGTTGCAATATCGATTATTATTCTCCCAAAACATATTGCTCGTTTGAATTCTTATTTTTTCAATTATATTTCTTCAATTAAGCTCATTCTGGACGCTCTGTTTATTATTTCTTCTGCTTTCTTTCCTTCCTATATTCTTTAATGCATTATTTCGAATCGCTTAATTTAAAGACATTGGCGTGTTTCGCTTAACAAAATCAAGACATTCTACATGCTTCTTCTAACATTTATTGCGTTAATTCACCAAGGTCCTGCGTTGTGTCCCTCTTCTTTTATTTGTAACACAATTTCTTAGGAACTAGTTTTGTGTAATAGAAAGATAAAATTAACTTATTAAGTAATATATTGCTTATTTTGTAAACATTTATTTGATTAAACTTTTTAAAATGTGTTATATGAACTTTTTACCCGAAGTTTGAAAAATGGAATCAGTTTAAAAGATTAAGAACACAGCAATACAATATGAAAAGTATCTGAAATTATTAACTTGACGTAATTAAAAAATTTTAATTCAAAATGAGTGAAATATTTTCTTCAGAGCTCTTAGTTTAATCAGCAATGCGTTAAAATAAAACTATATAAAGAGAATCAAAGTTACATTGTATATAAGAAAACAGTCTAGAAAGAAATACTTATCAGACTTCACAGCGTTTTGAGATTACAAGTCCATTCGAACTGCCTTACGTGAAAACGAGACAAAAAAAAAACAAGGACAGACCGTAATGAATTAAATTTCAATAAACACAAAAACATTCACGCATTCACCTTATGAAGCATTCAAAACATCATGCCGCTCTGATATACTACAAAAAAATACGAGAAAATACAGAAAGAAAAAAACGTTTCAAAGTAGTAAATAAAATCCGCGTGATTTTGTTGAACAACATGTTTCTGTGAATGCCGATCATTAAGAAACAAACGTACTTTAAGCGTAGGATTAAAAGGATTAACGTATCTACGACTTCCAGCCTCTCTCGTGCACATTTACTCGCATAAAGATGGACCAGTCCGCATCACGCTATTCCTAGACTACTCTAAAAAGACTTTTCGTAGATTTTAAGTGTCTCTCAGAGGTCCTTTGCCCTATCTGAATATCACTTCATCTTCTGCTGGTCTTTCCTCCCGATCGATTTCATTTGTCGTAGCGCAGCCCTGCAGCATGCTCGTTTAATCGACTAGTCACGTGTTTTGGATGCACCTTGGCCTTATTACATTATTATTTATTGAATTAGTTTTCGCATAGTGTGCATGCTGTTAAATTGTTTAATTCCCCTTTGTCGTGCCCGTTTGTCATTCGGTAGCGTTAATATTTGCAGCTCTTCAACAGGAATTTTCCCTCTTTTTCTTGACTTAATCGCGCTGATAATTCCGCGTTATGATTTGGTTCTGTTTTCGAGTCAGTCGCCGATGTTCTCGCGACTATGGTATTTTTATCATCGTCCTGTGGCTTCTATATCATGCCCGTCCTCCGACCCGGGCAATACGATGCGACAATGTGACCAGCCAATTAAGAAGAAAGTTCAACGATATGCCTTGGCCCTCTCTGCCCAGGCAAATAAGTCCACGCTCGGAATCGCTTCAAAATCTGTACAGGACCTCAGTTCGTTTCTGTTGGAAGATATGGAGTGATTTAAAATCGTTTTCCCTTTTTCCAGTCGATTTTTTTCCTTTTTTATATATAAAAGTTTCTTAGAGGAAAATAAGTTATTTCTTCGTTTTAGCAATTTAAGTGGTTTAGGATAAGTAACAAATAAATAAATATATTTTATGTTAAATTCTGTTGTACAATGAAACAATAATTGATATAAATTTAAAGGAAAGAGAAAAGTAAAAGATTAACTTACCCAGCTTGTGGTCTGAGGAATACGTTTGGCTGCATGTATGTAACATTGTTGCCATTGTTGCAGAATATTCTTGCTAATGTTACTCTACGTATTTCTGCCAATTGTTCTGTAACACAAATGTATGCATATCATTTAAAACAGGAAAATTTTACATAAAAGATTAATTTTTACGTGAATTGAAGATGTGATTTCACATTTTAATGTGATATATAATAGAATGTTGATTGTTTAAAATTGATTATTCCTTACCGGGTGTGAAAGGATAGGGCTGGTATGCAGAATCATAGAAATATCTGTCAGTGCGACGAGTTCTCGAAAATTGTTCGAAGATTAAACAGCGGAAAGTAGGTCCCAATAATCCATCATCCACTGGCCTCTCAGCCATACCACCAATAATAAGGTCAACGTCATCAGGATGAGTGTAAACTGCACGCAATTTCTGTATCATCTGTTAACAGAACAAACAATATCCGTAGTGTTAAAGAGATGCAGAGTTTTTGTTTCTAACAATACTTTTGCGATACTTCTCATAATTTTAATATATTCTCTCTATCAATTATATGGTAAATTATATTTTCATTTTGTTACAAAGTTTCTATTAAATTATGTACTATAAAAAAAATTAAAGCCCTCTTTGAACTATATTATGCGATGTAAAAAAATTTTTTTAATCAGTTCACCCTGTATAATGTATTTGGTGTTATTTTAGCAGATTCACTAGTGATACGAACTTTCATATTGTGTATGTGTGTTGTATTATAGGTAAACAAAGATAAGGTAGTAAGAAAACAATCATTTTTTGTCTTATTATGACTGCTTTTCGTGCCAACAAATACTTGAACCCGACCACGAAAATCTGTCACGGTTGTATACAGAAAAAAAATATGCTACAGTCCTACTACAAAGAAAACATGTTTTGACAAAAATTTAGATGATAATTTCAAGTATCCTATTTTATATTCCATCAACAAGTTTCTATTCCGTAGATATTTACCTCCATTGGAATGTGATCTAAGAAATCATCGAAGTTTTTCGCTGCTGCAATTTCGCAATATTTACGATAATGATTGTAACCGGGTAAACCGTGATCACGGCCACGCTGAATGTCTAAACTGATAGTATCTAAACCTAGACTGTTTTTATTCGCTGCAAACAATTTGCTTGTTACCTAAAACACAAGAATGATTTACACATTTTAAATAAACAATATAATACTCTTTTAATTAAACTTATTAACGAAATACGTGAAATAATATTTCCTAAACAATTGAATTTAAAAACAAGATCAAACGTATATTTGCAAAAATTCCATTTGTCTCTTTGATGTAATATGTATACTTACATCTGCAATTATACTGATATCCATTTTCTGACAGGTCTGAGTAGCCATACCACGTAATAAACCATCGAACACATCGTCCGACTCAATTATACTCGGTTTGAAGTAATACCCGACTAACGAAAGAGTTTCGTTGATTTGGCGTGTGTTGTCTGTCAAGCTGTAACAGGAAATTAGACAAAAGTCAAAAAAGAGTTGGAAAATTGAATATTTATTTATTTTCACTACTGCAAAGAAATCGTAGAATGCATAAGTCAGTAAGAAAAAAGTATTTGTGATATACGTCTAAATAATTAATCGTACGAAAAGTAGTTTTACTGATACCAAGAAGATACGTTAAATTGCTTTGTTCTAAAACTACTCGTAAGTCTTCGTTTACCTTAGCTTTCCTTGCATCAAGGAAACCAAGAAACGTAAAGCTGCTGTTGCGACTTCATTGCTGATTGCTGGATCATCCTCGGAATTATAGATACGACTGTAACTATTTCCAACTGTGAGCCCAACAGCTCGAGTGTATCTGCCACCCAATAAAATGGGCAGCCACTCTTTGTACGTTATATGCTGAATTTCAGCAACTACTATACGTCTGGCTTCCTGATACAGTGTCTGGTCCGACCAGTGAGGATTCAACTCGGCAAGCTTATTAGCGATCTTGTTGTGTTCGCGGTGCCAGACAGTGTGTATCACAGCTAATTGCGGTTGCATGTTTACTCGATAATCACCTAGATAGAAACGATACATTTAAAAATACTTAAAAAGCGTAAATGGCGAGGAAATAAAATAGGATGAAATGGGAAAAAGAATATGCAAATGATGAATATGAGATTTGGAGGAAAGTTTAAAGTAAAACAAAATTGGAGACTATTGTGGCTTAAAATAAACCAATTACCACTGATACTCATAGTTAACTTGTTTAGATTTAGTTAGTATTACCAAATTGCTCATTGTAGAATCATGTTGCAAAATTAGAATGAAGGAGTCACGTGTACTGATGAAATTACATTGAGAATGTTCCATTTCTTGATGATTAGATTCCTTAAAATTTGAACTTTTCATTACTGGTACTAACCCATTCCGCCACGAAACCGTTGATTTAGTGAAATTTGGCGGTAAATACATTATGTGAAATTTACAATGAAAATAAGACCAATTGAACAATTTTATTATACTATTTGCATCAAAATTAATGGTGAAATGGGTTGAATTATAGTTTAATGTGTTGAACATGATATACAATTGATGATAAATGATACTGATATTCCCTTCACTATATTATGCACCTGAAATTTTAATTTTCTTTAGAACTATGAAGATTGTGAAGCAATTTACTTCCGACAAATCTTTTTAAAATTTAAATGATTAATAATTATATTACAACTAGTCTTCACATATAAATATCAGTATTATATACATCCTGTGTAATCAATAGAATAAAAAGCATGACTAATTACCAGAATTATAACAGCCTTTTATGCACTCAGACGAGATTTCAGTACCTCCAACTGGTATAAACTCATGATTGTTTTTCTCATGAACTAGCAAACGACCTCCTACGAACTCACGCAGTTCGCGAGATCTCTTCAAAGTAGAACCATAGATCGTTGAAGCATCCAAAAAGTGGCTCGCCTGATTCATCTGTAAATTAATAATTACCTTATTGATTATCTTCTTCATAATTTTGATCAAGTGTTTTCACATACATTTCATTAGAACAAAATATACTTTTTAAAATGGTTAATTACCAGAAAAGCTTAAAAAATGTTGATATATATAAACAAGACAGAAAGGCGATGATTGGACTAAATTTTGACATGAATTTATATTTAGTCTATAATGAAAAAAGTTGATTAACCTGTTCCACGGGGCCAAACGTGCATTCTGATTTGACAACCGGCAACGATCTCACGTAGTTCATGCATCGTACGTAATGCTGGCCGTAAATGGGATCCTGATCAGATACCGTAATTGCAGAACAATCAGGATGTATGTGTCGAGGGGACAAGGTACTTCCGTCTGAATGACAGCATAAGATTGGTTTTCCTGACGATACTGCAAATAACAATTAAGACAAAGAATTAATTATGATTTAGTATTCTATTTGGTGTATATTTTATTTAGATATAAAAAGTGTAAATACACTTTCTCAATGTTAAAAAATGATAGGACTGTGCTTAATCAACAAATTGAAGTATTTACAAATTATTCAAATTAAATGTAACATAGAATGATTGAATCGTTAAGATTTTACAATACATTCTTTGTACATTTATTAAATGAAGCTTGTACATTACAGTTTAATTTTAGTTTTCTTTTTCTCTAAGTAAACAATATCTTGATATTGCAGAACTTTTCTCCTAAATATGGATGATTCAATATGAGGCTGTTTTAACAGTCCTGTATAATTAATAACATGTAATCAATATCTCTCATATTTCAAATTTCATTATTTAATAGTAAAACCATTTGTAATTACAATTTGTTCATAACTTAAAGAAAATAAGATGAAAACTAATGCAAACATGGCATTAAATACAATTCAACATATTTTACACAAATTCCAAAATTAAATACATACTGAAACATAGCAAACTGCTGGTGTATTTCGGTTTAGCTTTTTTGCTATTACTGAAGATCAGTAACACTTACTCATCTTGCGAACTGGAGTGTGAGAAATGTCGTGTGCAATGAACTGTCCCCATTGCATTACTGTCAACGTTCTGCTGACATCCGACTGACCATTGGGAGCTGATAGAGCCACGCTCACACTCCTGGCACCTGGTAGTGGTTTCATCGAGTGCCCCATGTGTCTCGGTTCTTGAATTCCTGGTCGCCAAAACAAGCATTAGTCTCATGTTTTACACAACTATATGTCGTCAAATCGGAGTAATACGTTTCACAAAAAAAAAAAAAGGCGTTAAAAGGTATTCTCGATCGATTTTTCAATTTCTACCAATATTTTACATTACAGAAAACGATCTATTCAAGATCAACAGGTGTGCGTGTGTATGTCAATAAAGAATAACGAACGAGAACAACATACGAAATATGATCTTACAAATTTCCAAATACATCATATAACGAATGAAAAATTTGAATCGAGACCCCGATTACTCCGATTTCAACGAGATTTATCACGTGTTCATGTGAATATATGTCTGTGCAGCGCGAGAGCGAGTAACAAATTCGCGGCGTGTCTCTCTGATTCTGTATATTTCGAATCAGGGTGAAAATATCAGGGAGAAACCCGAGCCTAACTATGCCTAAACCTGCCTCAACTAGCGACCAATACCTCAGAGATCAATCAGTAGATAAGAACCAAGTTTCTCATATCTAACATCCAACGACGATTTCTTTTTCCAAGCGCAAAAATATCGATCAACCTTACACTCTCTCGATTCTTTATTTATCCGTTACATCGGAACGCTGATTGATCCCTGGATCGACCGGGAAACGGTGGCTCTCGCGCTGCAGAGCAGTAAAATCAGAATACTTTTTTCTTCTACTTATCTTCTACGACATAACGTTCTGATGCGTTATCGACGAAACCACCGAATTTTACAAAATAGCTCTCTCTTTCTTATTTTCCAATGTACATATCACAAAATTAGGTACTTATCATTAACAAAAAGACGATCACGTCGAGAACGCTCGCAGAAGGAAACAAGTGACTTATCTAGGTGGCTGATGAAGGTGTCCAAGTGAGAGAGAATCAAACTGGGAGATGATCGGTAGTACATTTTGTACGAGTCAAATTTTACAATAAGTGAAAAAGTGTTAACAATTTTTAATCGTGACAAATTTTGAACGCAACCAGATTACAATACAATATGTCTTTGTTTATCGAAGGTTTTACAAGAATTCCAAAAAAAGAAAAAAAAAAAGAAACGACTCCCAATTCCTACTCACTTAGCTGAGACACCTTTAACGTGACCCGTATACCGCAATCAACAGAAAATATTTGAATTAGTGTTACAATAATAAATATGATACATTATTAGGTATATCCGAATTAGTTTACATACACATTCTACTGCTGGATAGAATCTCCCGACCGGGGCACCCTATTGTAGGCAGTATTATTCACTGCTACACTCAGGCATATTATGCTCTATGTGCCTTATCGCACAACAACTGTAATGCAAATCACAGAATATAATTTGTTAAGCCAATCGACGAACGTTTTTTATTGTTTTTTTTTTTCATTTTTTTTTATCCATTAGCGCCCAAGGATCAGAGAGTGTTCAATTTTCAAATTTACAGACACACACATGAGACATACGTATACTTTTGACTTTGTTTTTTTTTTTTTTTTTTTTTGTTGAGGCTGTATGATAAACGTGTTATGTGTAGATTATGCTTTTCGTGTTTCGCTGTGTGTGAACGTGTATATATGCATTTGCGAGATGTCATTGTAAGCGGACCAGGTGGGTTAGTAGGTCGAGGTTGGTAAGTTGCGTGCAACAAACACGCGGACGATTTCGAGTCGCTAGAAGAGAAGACCACTTGTTTTCTGTTGATAAGGGCAAATTTGCTTCAAATTCTCCATTGAAAGTAGACGGCCGACGAACGAGATGAAGAATCTTTGGTACCTTTTCATCTGACCTTGGTAAATTAAATGTTTCAGATAGGAGTATGCAATTATGCGAGAAACGTGTTTGGCTGGGATTTCTGATTCAGACACCACCGTCAGAGTTATGTAAGAATGTTCTAGTGAAGTGTACAGCGTGTCCTGGAATGATAAGTAGGTATAGATTTAAGGAAGTTCACAAGAGCAGAATATTTCGTTCAATTATCAAATACAAATTCATGTTCATGATAATTATTTGAGATTATTTGACTATTAACACTGGAGAAGAAACAAAGTTTTAGTACAGAAGGTTTATTGTGTAAATTTGTGTGTTACAACAAATATTGAATACAGAATCTTGCAAAGCAGACAGAAATTTTCGCATATTCCTTCTATTAACAGCTTTGAAAGCAAATGAAATTTTTTTTGGTATTCAGTATGCTGTGTTATTGCAATTGACTTTATATGTGAGTTCAATTATGTGTGAAATTTTACATGCAATGTACCATGTGCAAGAAAATTATGTTTAATAATACTGTTGATGTATCAGAGATGTACTTAATGCCAAAGTAAAAGGAATGGTGCAATAAAAAACATGTTTGCATTGAAGTAATCAAAGTTGAAGAGGATTGAGAGATGTAGAGCATTATATATTCATTACAGTCGAAATTTGTTGTCCTTGATAAAATGTTCAATGCTGTAATGAACATCATAAAAGCGTTTGCAAACGTACGTACAATATGAAATCTATGCTTTGCAAGTTCAAACACAACAAACTATGCAAACATGTTATAGAAATCTGAAATCATATTCTGCACTTATCTAGGATATTAGATTTATCTGCTTGTAAATAGAAGAAGAAAATATTGGAATATTTGTGGGAAAAAGGAAATAGTAAAGCAATAAATAAATAATGTAACGTTTAAAATTTTATACTGCTATAAGAATCTTCTAATTTTCTGCACTTGTACAACTGCTAAAAATGACTGAATTACTAAATTTGAACAAAATACATTATTATCCTCAACTTGAAATTTTTTACATTAATCTTCGTTTAATCTTTTAAATTTGCTTTTTATTCCTACAATTTTATCAATTTATTAAAAATGTCTAAGTAGTTTGAATATCTTAATAGACAACCAAAGCTAATTAGTAAAAGAATTAGTAAAAAAAAGTGAAGTTAATATAAATGTTAAGCAATATCCAACTAAAGGTACCTGTACAAGTTACAGAACTCTAAATACCAATGTATTTTCCAAAATAATCACAAAAATTCTAAAAAATCCTTATCTAATTATCAAGCAATTACTACTAATTGCTGAAAGCACAGAAAACAGACTTCTAAAACACTCTGTACACATAACGTGAGTTCCAAAACAAGTTCACACTTCCATCTTGTCACATTCACAAAGACCTCGTGAAACGGACGGCACGTGTACAAGAATCAAAACACCCAATAACAACTGATAAAAACGACACCCTGTGTCGTAACATGTGTGTCACTTTATCTAACCAATCATTTGTATCACATATATGCAGATAGTAACTGCACGCGAGCGATAACAACGGAACTGTGCCACGTATGATCCAGAAACACTATCGAAAATGTCCTTGAACAACCAGAAATATCCTTAAATATCGTTGGCCGAGATCTGACCAACTATCGAAGAAAACCCATGGTAAGAAAAGAACACAGAAATCCAACAGAGAAGAGACGAACGACGAATAGTGCAATCAGAGGAACCAGGACGGATTTTATGAGAGGAGAAGAAGGAAGCGCCAAGCGTTTTCAGAGGCTGCAAATAATTGTACGATTATTATTCCACACAAATAACGACGACACCATTGGTAGTACACGGTTACAACAGGGGGCTAGAATGTATATCTCGGGTTCTTCTCTCGTTTTTACTACCGTTCTCCTCTGTTTCGTTCGAAAGCCCGGCCCAGTGAAGGAATTATTAGTGACCGGTAGGTAAGTATCACGATGGAGTTTCGTGCTAAAAAAAACCGTCCGCGAATCAGTGAACTGTTGATAAGCGTGCCCAGCTAGAGAGGAGCTAACGATTCAAGCAAACTCTCGTCGACGTAATTACTCGTACGGAATTATCGCGAGTTTCTATTGCACAAAACGGGGACGAGACATAGCCGAATATGGTAGATAAGTCCTTCTTTTTTTCTCTTTCTCTCTCTCTTTCTCTATCTCTTAAATCCTTACCGTCGAAGTACTGAGGGAAGAGGATTCTGGTGTACGCGGTCATCGCACTACCCCAGCTCGGATTTGCGACATTATTGCAACTGCCGTCGATGCTTCGGTACTTGGCCCTGGAATTGCAGATCGTTTGCCGCGAATTCGAGCAGGCTGAGCTAAGGGGAGTCCCCTGCAGCGACAAGGTTGATATGTAACGAGCGCAATCGCCTTTTTCCAGGCCAAATCTATAACAGATATCAGTTGATTACTTAACACTTTGCTACTTACATGTACCAATTGAATGCAAACAGATGCCTCGCGAGCTTTTCTTTTTTTTTATTATTAATCGACGTGCGGTTAGGAAAAGTAGCACGTTTCGTTTATCTTAGGAAGAACGGCGCGTGTCTGATTGTGACACTGTTTCGACATGAAGAATAGGATATTTTGAATTTTCCCGCGAAAAATGACGCGTTTCGGTTTTCGCGTTAAATTGTTGAAATGCATTTCGCGGTGGAAAATTGAACCTTTGAAAATATTGTTTAATAAATAATAATCCCGTTTAATCACTGAAACGAAGAGAAATATGAAAATATTTCTCACTCTCGTTCGATCAACGAACCGAAGAGAGGTTAACCCCCATTTGCATAATTAGCGTATATATGCGCGCAGTTTTTCTGGTCACCATCTCGGAAGCATATACATATATACGCGCATTCATACAGTGAATAATCGTAGATTACTACAATTTCGTGTTAAAGGCATATTTTAATTTTTTTCAAATGATGCAAATGGGTTACCAGCCGAGAAATCCCCGGAGCACCTGCCTCCCTCGGTAACAGTCGCGACACGAACCAGAGCCTGCGTCAATTAAGCGGGGAACACTGTATATTACGATCAGATCGGAACAAAATTTTTTTCTCCTCAATTTTTTCTCAAAAGACTCACATAATTAAAAAAGAAAATTAGATCTTATCAGTTGCTGCGGTATAAAGCTAAACATGCTTTTTTTTTCGTAACGAACTATTTAAATGTGCTACTTATCGCGACGAAAGACGAAACGGTTGAACTCTTTGGTAATTGTTCTCGTGACTTTTCGTGAAACAAACGAAACGTGTTACTGTTCAAAATACACGTCGATTAGTGATAACAACACGTGTCACTACTTTAGAAATTATCCATTGTACTTTGCAGAGTACATGGAGTATTTTACTATGCAGTGTTACTTATGCTTTACAACTTTGTTGCGAGACAAAAATTGTCTACCTTTTAGGAATTCTGAGGAATAATATGGTAATATTGAGACAGAAGTGTTTCTTCTTTTAATTTCTCTTACGTTAAAAATAGAATTTTTATTTATTATTTGAGATACTTGTTGCTTCTAAATTACCCCGTTAGGAAACTGTTAATTGTATTGAAATTAATAACAAGCTCTAAATAGGTTATTGGAATTCTTATGTGAAATATAAAAAGTGTTATGTCATAAAGATAAAGTTATTAGTGTTGTTCCAGTTTAATACGATCGGCCTTCAGAGAGTCAATAAATTTAACCCCTTAATTCTTCAATTCTTCAATGAGTGCGATTTTCAAGTGCATATAAAGACTTGTATGAAAGGTTCTATTTATCTATAAATATCACAGCGTACAAAATATTTGATCTTCGTCGTGCATCGTCAAAATAATGCCCGAGCATTCAATAAAATTAGATACAAATAAATGTGCAAAATATCATATTCGACGTGTACCATGTCTGGGCCATGTTCATATTTTCTCAAAAGAATCTTCCTTTTGCACAATTTCCATCTCCTTTTTCTCCGAACGATGACAAATACAGCGTTTCTCTACTAACGTTATCCTCTTTACAGAAAGACTCGGCATTGAAAAATGATAAATTCAGCGCTCGTGTAAACGAGTATATCACACACAAATATTCTTATTCTCAGAGATTCGTATAATTTATGAGATTTCATTTACAACTTACTTTAGCTTTCTTATTCGACCAACTAGCGTCTATCAATCTTCCCGTCAAGCGTTCAGGATAGTCAACTTATGAACAATTTAGCAATTTCTTTCTGTCGAAAGGACAATATCAAGGAAAGATACTTTATTTACACGAATTATTTGATTTCCTACGAATGTCGAATCTATCTGCAAGATCTGTTTCACCAGTAAAGAAACATTCTGCACGGTCGTAAGACAGTGAGTGAAAAAGGACTTGAGACCTAAGAGGTATATGTTACCTGCGGCAGCTCTGATGAAGGAGATAGGACGAAGCTTTCGTCGCCACGATGGCGTCAAGACCTCTCTCGAAAGCATCCTCGGAAGGATATGAATCAAGGAATTGCTTTCCAGCCGGCGTGTGAGCCTTCAATTCGACGCCAGCATTCGCGATATTCCTTTCGAGGGTGCTCATACGATCGACCAGGTCTAGCGCGAAACTGATCGAGTTGTTCAAGACTGCCTCGTCAATGTGAGGGAAATGTCGATTACGGAAATGACCCGTGTCTACGATGCCCCCGTAAGGGTAGTTCGACATCGGCAAACCTGAAAGGACACCTTTAAAAGCGTCGGTAAAAAAGATTCAATGAATTCAACTGGGTTCGTCGCGTCCTTATTTATAAAGCTTCTACTATGTTTGCTTCGCAAGATTTTCTTTTCAACGAACTCGTCGCCAAAGAGGCAATAAAGATTGAGAAGTATGTTGTACAGTAGATCCACATTAGTTCGTATAATGTTGGGTCCACGCTGGTTAGAATTGTTCGCGAACAGTAACAGAAATGAAGTATTCTAAGTTTTAGTCAATTCTTCCCAATATCGCTTATCATTCAGCGGTATTAATACTCACCACAAAAGAACCGCAAAAAACAAAGAAACAATAGTACTTATCGTGACCACTGTCTAAAAATAGATTGCGAAATAACAACTTTAAACACTGATTTCTTTCATCAACAATAAATATGTTACGACAAACTTTATCATTAGAATAATGAAAAACAAAGAAGTTAATCATAAAAATTTGGAAATAATATGTTTGGGACAATTGATCGACTGTATCCTTTGAACAGTGGATCAGAAGATAGTAGTATCAGCCGAAAAGTTGACAGCAATCCAGGGCAAAACTTATCACCGGATGTACAGTTGGTGGAAGAAATATTCGTGCATGTCGAGAAAACTCTGAGAAGACAGGGGCTCGAAACTTCAGCCAGAGTCGCGTGAAATATGCTTTAGCTTTGATTCAGTCCCAATTGAAAATATAACCGCTATTTAATGACTTAAGCATCGAAGTCCGAGTGGTCTCATACCAGAAATCCATGATTTTCACATTTTCGTGCATTTAAAACGAGTGGCCCCCCCAATCCGAGTACTCTATTTTAATCTTCAAAAAAAATTTTACGATACGTTTAAAACACCCCTGGACTTAGGGGATTAATAAAAATTCGTTAGAATGTACGAGTTAATTTGCTGGGAGGATTAATTCGCAACCTCGCTATATTTCTTCCACCGACTATACGTAACATTCGAGGCGAAGATTTTCACCGGCGAATGGGGAGAGAAAATGAGGAAAAATTGTGAGAAACAGCAATAGATTTGTTACCTGTATAACTAGCGAGGTAGTTTTGCAAAGTCGCCGGTAATTTGTAGGCACCAATCGAGTGCGAACTCCCAAGAAATCCCATGGTCTGCAGGGATACCCAGAGGATCGCCAGAGTAGCCACGGAACCCGCCATTAGACCTCCGGCTGCACAAAACCAAATGATCGTTATTCACTCACTACGGAAAACCTTCTGACTGATGATTCAACGCATACATGATTGTGTTTACAAACGCCACGCTACTTTTGTATTTCTTTTTTTTTTTATCGCAAATAGCCACGACGCAATACGATCTGAATCATTTCGTATAACGCCTGCGTTATTTTAGATCAATAAATTTCATTGTTATTATTGGAGGTTTGGAATGGGTTTGATTGATTAATAAAGCTAAACGAATCTGATGAATTATGATTGTTGTAAGACGCTGCTTCTTTTACATTTCATACTTTAAGTCTTCGGGTCTTTTTTGACCCATGGCTTTCTTATTTTTTTTAGTAACATTTGCTGTTGTGATGTTTATGTTCACTTAACGTTATATTGAAAGTTTATCGTTTAGATTCATATGGCGTGCTGGTGAGAAAAATTGTCACACGTGAGATCCCTGGGTCTTTTTTGACCCAAAGATCTTAAATGTACAGTCGAACGGAAAGGCACTGTGCAATTTTTGTTTTGTGGCACTGTACTTTTGTTCGTGACGAAGGAAAGGAATATTTAATTGTGTATAATATTGCGACATTATGTCTAAATAACAGTAGTATAAATTTTATTTATTCAGTGTGTAATGTTTGTTGTATATGTTTTAAACGAACTAAAGTCTGATTTTGAAGGTATAATAATGTTCAGGCACCTTGGGATGTAGAAACTTATTTAGGCGAGCTATTATGATACTTAATTCGAATTTAATTGAAACTGAATGACACTTGAAATTTGGAAATCTTGTATAAAGAAGGATTCTAGACTTTCGACTTGAAAATATGTTAACATTGATGCTGCTAAAAATCACTCATATTTTTTTTTTTTCAATATTATTCAAATCATGAATAGAAGTTTAAAAGGACATTGACGTCACTGATAGTGAAAGTGTCTTGAGGTTATCTGGGGTGTATATTTAATTCCGTCTAGGAATTAAACATTAGAGCTACTGATATGCAAAACTCAAATTTCAATTTTAACTATTATTTCATCGAAATGATTTAAAAGATGAAGATGAAACATTTTCGTCTCTCAGGTTGTATCTATTGTGTAATTAGAAGAAAAATAGAAATTAAATTTAAAAATATTCTAAAATAATATCTAAAATCCTGAAAATAATATAATGCTAATTTTTAAAATTTTCTCAAAATTGTTCAAGTTTTTTTTTGTACAAATGTTTTAGAGACGTGAAATAATTTTGGAGCCAGTGACTCCTATTCTTTTTAACTTTTGAACAAATAAAGCTGTTTCCTATGAATTTTAAAAATGAAACTCTGAATCAATCACAATACAACAACCTTGTTATTCGAAACGTGAGATCTTACAGTGACTATTATTAACACCATATCTAATCACCACTACAGCCTATTCAAGTAGAGACATAAATAACACATAACGTTTAAAAGTCTAGAAAAGATGAGGTATTTTAAAATAAGGTTCTTGCTGCAATTATCGGTATCGCAATTACTGTATTTTTCATTTAAACTGAAACGCGAACAAAACATTTACAATTGTTTTCAACTTCTGAAACGCTTCACATCATGCAATTTACTAAATTGCCCAATGCTTTTCAGAATAACTCATAATTACCCTTTAAACAGAATTAAAAGTGGACAACGAAGTAATTAAATAAACAGAAAAATTCGAGTTGCCCAATTTTGCTAAATCAAAAATTTACAAAATTTATCAGAGGAACATTTTGAAAATTTAAATCGTTGAAGAAACTTCACAATAAACATTCAAATCAGGGGCATGAAAGCTGAAATGTTCGGTTACTTTGGAAAGATCAAAAGCTCCCAACTCGTCTAAATTCATCGAATCCATGAAATACTAGAAAATTGTCTTTGGTATTCTGAAAACGAATGGTTGTAACGAAATATTTAAAAAAAATTGAAATTTTCCAACAATTCTCGAATCGAGAGACTAAAAGTGAAATATTGCAAATTTAAAATATTGTTTGACCTGCTAATTACGTGAATTCGACAGAAGAAGCTTCTATAGGCGGTACATTCTTCTTCGAGCTAACAGCAAAGGATATAATTTTTCTCCTCTACTTATATCATTGACAACGTCGTCTATAGGCAAAATTTATGAACGAGATTACTCATTTATCAGTGTGTTTGCAGTATCAAACGTGCTCGTTCGAGGCTGAATCAGATAGCTGCATTTATTTTTCCCTGCTATAATTCTACACTCCACGTGATTTCTAGAACTACGTCTTTCTATTCTTGTTTACGTTTTCTATGCTCTTGACACCTCCTTGACTTTAAGTTCACCTCATTATCCGCGTTTATGCATACTAATGTGTAGCTTCCTCGTTCATTTCTATCCTCCATATATGAACATATTTGCATAGGTCAATATTATTGCACTCATGTACGCTGCTCGTGGAAAAAATTGCAAATCTGGAAATTACACGTTCCTCCCGGCTACTTTGAGGAGAAAGTGACCTTTTTTAACCAAATTTTAATCATTTTTCCCATTTCAATGCCCCAAAAATGGAAATTTCATTTTTAAGGTGTTACAGTTCTCTCTTTTTCTGGTGAGCAATGTATTTCTACTATTTTATTTCGTTTACCATTAATTTGTCAAGACGAGAAATTTATGTGATTGAAAATGTACACCGAACGATGCACGGTGGAGTATTTGTATGCAAAAGTGAATTTTGTCGATTCACTGAGCTCCCCAATATTTTTCAGAATAATTTGTGATCACCCTTCGAACAGAATTAGAAGTCGATTAAAAAGTGATTCAAGTAAACGTATTCGAGTAAAAATTTGACAAACCTACGTTATTTACTGGAAATGATCCTAAATAATCTTGAAGCAAGTTTAATAATGAATTATGAATACTTTTACAAAACTCCAGATATGTACTATCATAAAAATTCTAATCTCGAAATAGAATTCTGTGTTATGAAAAAATTGGAAGAAATCATTCCTTCAAAAAAATGTATATATCTTAATAGCATTTTTATTTCAATTTATCATTTATAAATTAAAACATAATTTACTATATTTTAACTTTTAAACGACAACATGAAAAATTATGACAATCTTGCACGATAAAATTTCATCGTTACATGCTAATCTCAAGGAAGGTGTAACAAGCTTCTGCAATAATACAAGGCACGATTTTCAAATTTACCGAACGCACACGGTGCAATAAATTTTATTTCACACGGATGTTTAATCTCGACTTCGATCCTTCGACACGTCAACCATCGCTGTTGAGTAAATTTTCCATTTAGTATCTTTCAAAATCAATATTTTTCCGTTAAGTTAGCGTACACCGTCGAACAGATAAAATTAAGTATCTTTAGATTTGCTCAATTAGTGTATGACGGTCGAAAGAAATACAATAATGGTATTTGCAGTGTCTTTGAATCTGGTTGAATGCAGTATCGCGGCATAAATACATTTTCTAGCTTACAGCCGCTCCACTTGAGTCATGCATTCGCTATCAACAGAGGATCAATTGTGTTAGAATGGAATTTACCATCATAGTGCGAGACGTGATAACGGTATTAGAGATGTATGTGTGATATAGAGACAAGTAATCAATAATCAATACCTGAGGTTAACGGAAAATTTTATTTGTTGAAGACGATTCTAGAAAAACGTGGAAACTGTAATAAACGCATCGCTAAAGTAACACATGGAAAATTGGCAAAATATCTTTTCAAATTTTAAGTTATCTGAATGAAGTTTAGCAAACTATCTGAATAAAATTATCGAAATAGTAACGTTTTAACTGAAAATATTATGCTGAACATATTTGCTGAAAATATTTAACTGAAATGATATAACTTGTGTTTGCAACAGGATACAAAAATTAAATGTCTTAATGCTTTCTGTTATTTTCACATTTCTAGTATCTTTCCTACAATTGACGTTTCATTCAAGTCTCCCTAATTGCTGTCTTCGTCAATAGCCAGACTAATACCTGTTACATGCACTACCTAATTAATTCACGTTTCGCATAACGTATACAGTGCAATTTAAGTAACGTACGTATTTGCATTGAACAGTCTTCACTTTCACTAGACACTCCACCGCTTTGATATCCAAGTCTGTACACCGAAGCCATTGGTTTTAGCCTTGTATGGCAATAACTAGTTTTTCTTAGGGTCGAAGCAAATGGAAAGACTAAAATTAACGCGTTTCTTACACGAAGTGCAAAAAATGAAAAATAGAGGTGAAACCTTGTCACTGAATATGTAACAACATTGACAAAAGATGTACAGTCGAATCCTGGAAGGTTTTCTCGTTGAAAATAGAAACAACTCTGACGACATCTAGCAGTAATCGATAAATTTTGAAATAAATCCCGAATTGTGTCGGCCAAAATTAATTTCTACATATTTCAATTCCTTCTGAACATTAACAAAGAACTTTAACTAAACTCGAGACCAAAACCAACGTGCCATTTTGTACTTTCGACTTACTGTTATTACCTCGTGAATAAACATACTTCGAAATATATTTCTAGAATTTGCAACAAATGTGTTTACTCGTACCTGTTTTCTTTTTCTTTTCAGCAGGCCAATATAGATTGGGAATATTTATTTTTAAGAAAACTTTCCATCTCCCATTCTCATCTCGCAGAAAAAAGAAACAAACGTGTATCTTCCTATGAGAGAACACTGCAGAGAAAGTTCAGTGTAAATTTAGTATAGTCGTGTCCATCAAGGATACTTAATTGTGCTCGTTTCAAGTCCCGATTCTGAAACGCCCTCGCGAGAACGAAAATAGAGCCGTAGATGTATAGTCGATGGAATAGTGATGAAGCATAAAAATACACGCAATCTCAGGGCCATTCGATGTCAATTCGGAATTACCTCTTTCGTTGCGGTATATTTAAAAAAATTTGCCTGCGCCTCAACCCTTTTACCGTGGCAGACTTTGGTATGTAACGCATGTGGTAAACAGATTTTCAATCGCGACCGCAGAAT